TGGTCCTGGAGGGTCACACAGGAGGGTCCAGTCCTGGTCCTGGAGGGCCACACAGGAGGGTCCAGTCCTGGTCCTGGAGGGCCACTATCCTGCAGGTGTGACTTGTTCCTGCTCCAACACATCTGATCCATTGGTTGACTGACCTTCATGTTCTGCAGACACCTGTTAATCACCGACTGCTTCAGATCAGGTGTGTTGGAGCAGAGGAACATCTACAACATGCAGGAAGTGGCCCTGCAGGACCAGGACTGGACACCCCCTCCAGCCTTCTCTGGATTGTAACATTAAAGTATTTATCCGATCCAGGATGGATGAACTCGCACCGGAGAGGCGGGGTGCATCCTGGACAGGTTTCTGTCTCATCATGAGTCCAGCCAGCGAGCTCGTCTCTGATGCTTCTGTCCTAAACTGCAAGAGCAGCCACAAAAAGTTAGAAACATCTGCTCAGTAATGTTGCAGTTGGACCGGAGCAGCTTTGGAATAATCGTTTTAGTATTGTGTAAGTTCCTTGACTCAGATCTGTGGGTTTCGATTCAAAAAGCATCAAAGTAAAAAACACACTGAAGCAAACAGAAACTAAAGAGCCGGTGGGGCTTTTATCCGGGTCCGGCTCGACCCGCTGCGTGGTTCTGGTGACGGCTCTGGGCCGACTGAAGTCGAGCGTGACGCCGATAACGAGAGTCCGGGGGTCCACAGACGGAGACGGGACGAGCAGGAAGTGGTTCTGAGAACAATCCACAGAGAAGAACTAACGGGTCACCCGGCGCCGGAGGGCCCGGCTCAGATCTGGGTTTTGTTTGAAGAACAGGAGCCAACCTGAAGGAGCTGCAGACGTTCGGTCCTGAAGACCGGATGAAGGTTCTGGAGACGGACCCAACGGGTCTCCATGCAGAACCGATGGATGTTTTACAGTAAAAACATTTTCAGAGCACGTCGTGTAAATTTAAATGTTTTTCTCTCAGAACTGCAAATGTGTTGCCTGATGAGAACATAACTGGACCGGGCTGGACCGGACCGGATCAGGACCGGATCAGGACGTTTGGAGCTTCAACGGGGGGGAACCGGTCAGAACGGACCCAGAAATGAGTTTCCTCGGGTCGTAAATCAAAACACATGAAACAAATCTGCGACCACGACGATGGACGTCGTTCGTGGCCCACGGGCCTTCACTCTGACACGTTCTACAAAATAAGAGTCTGATGAACGTCAGGAAGCACAACGTTCCTCCAGTGGAACGTTGTGAAAGCTGCGTGAACGTGTGGGACTCACCTGCAGCAGCAGACACACGGACCTCAGGCAGCAGAACAAGCTCAGAACTTTACACCTCAGCATCATGAAGGTCCTTCAGCTCCACCATACTCCTGCCAGGAGCTGCGGGTCCTCCTCGCTGGACGGATTATTTGAGGACCTCCTTCTCTGTGACGTCTTCAGCAGAGTCCGGGTGGAAAACTGGATCCAACGGTTTGAGTGAAACGGAGTTTCAAAAACTTGTTTTTAGAGTTTCCTTTTATCGGTCGGAGCTGCGACTCATGTCCATCCTCGACGCGAGCGTCCTCAGACTGGACCTACTGGACCTCCTCTGGCTCCTCGGGGCCTGTCTCACCGGCTGCGTGTCTCACTTCCTGCCTGTCTGCCTGAACAAAGTTGATTTCCTCAGTCAGGCCGACAGCTCTGCGAGTCACTGCAGAGGCTGGACTGAGACCAACAACAAGCCGAGAGTTGCTCCGGTCCCAGCTGTGAGCTTGGACCCGTTTCATCCTGATGGTTTCTGATTCATCTGGAGAAACCAACTTCATGAACTTCATGTTTTCATCCAAATTATCAAAGATTCAAAAATAATTTAATCTTAGAAACATCTGTTCATTCGTTGAGGTTCTGCTCGGCTCTCTGAGGTTCTCGACTCTGACTGGACCGTAGCAGAACCTTGGTTCTGTTCTTTCTGACCCGTTCTGTTGTAGATCAGCTGCTGTGTTCTGGATTGTGGTTCTGTCGGACCCAGTTTGGTCCAAATTTCAGCTGTTGGACTCCAGAACCCTGTTCTGGTCCACTCAATGACAGGAGCCCGGACCATCAGCCTCCACCCCTGTGCTGACAGCAGCAGGAGTTGTCTGCTGCAGTGTATTCTGGGTAAACATCTGTCCTCTGGTCTGGTTCTGGTCCAGAAGTCTGGTGGCTCCTTCAGATGAAGCGTCGAGCTGCCATGATGTTTTTAGGGAGGCCGTGATGTCCGAGATGGAGCTCACTGCGCGGTCTGACCTTCAGGGTGACTCCGCTGTCTGGTGTCCTCGTGTGAAGAATCTTCCTCTCAGTAGAACGATGGACTCTGAATGACCTTTGACCCTTCGACAGCTGCTCGTCTGAGGTCATTGCTGATGTTGTTCCACATCGGCTGGTGGAATATATATATATATATATATATATATA